TATTTTTGACTTTTCATTTTTATCTCTCTTATTTTTTTTTTTTTTTGCTCTCTTTCTTCTTTCCTTTTTTCTTCAGACAGGGTTTTGCTATGCAGTTCAGTCTGGCCTTGATCTTCCCTTGTAGCCCAGGATGACCTAAAACTCACCACAAAATTTCTGCCTCAGCCTTCAGAGGCCTGAAATGACAGGTGTGCAACAACATCCCTGATTGTGTTTTCCTCATTAAATTTTCTCCAAAACAAAACTCGTCAAAGATTTTGATATTCTCAAAGTTCATTAGGTTGGTTATACAAAACCAAATCAGAAAGTACTGAAAACACCCTGAAGGACTCTCAAAATCCTCACCAACATACAACATAATATAACATAACAGAGCATAATATAGTATAGCATAATATCACAAAACAAAATAAAAAAGGAACCACATAACTCTGCTTTAAACATCTGCTTCCAAAGATACAGCAAGAATTTCTCATTTATCCATACACCAGCAATATGATGCATTTTCTTTGAAATAAATGTCGGTATCCACTCAAATACTTGTGTAAGAATGGGTGTGGCAGCTTCCTTTTGAAGTCTGACCCAAAAACATTAAAAAAGGCCATCACAAGATGGGTGACAGGTGCATGTGCTTGGTTCAGCCACATAATAGTGGGTGGTGGCAGCACAGAGAGAGCCCAGCATGGAAACACTGCTTCAAGCAGACCAACCAAAGAGTATTACAACTGAAAAGGCTCAGCACCATCCCCTCTAGGAAAGGGAAACTACCCAGCAGGGACACAAAGCCCATGGTCTGATTGGGATGTGAGGAAAGGAAGTGACAGCAGCAGCTAGGAGACAAGTTCCCCAGGAGTGATGCACATGTGTCCTTCATCTGTATGGGGTGATGATGTCACCTCCCCTTGTACTCACCACCTGCTGTCCCCCCTTCTCAGGAAGTCAGAGTTTGGAGCACTACAGTGTATGGCTGAGTTAAACATCTAAGGATGAATAAATAATCATTCCTAAGCAATTGAGAGTAAAACTGGCTATGAATCCTCCACCCCTGGATATATGGGGTTTATAACATGAGACCTTCACATTGTTTGGTAAAATTATTATGGGTATTCTGCTTCCTAATGGAACTGAAATGAAACTAACATAAGCCCAACAAAACAAGTCATCCTAACATTTCACAAATTTTTAACAGAAGACAATGTGTCTTTCATCCTCCGAGACAATGGATCCTTTGGATGGACATTTGTGTTTGGCACCCAGCCTGACACATCTGAAGCATCTACATGTTTGCTGCATGAAAATCATCAAAGAGCAACAAAGTCTAAAAGTATACTCAGTTTTCTAGCATTTTAACTTGTTGTTTCTAGGGAGGACATAGATTTGTTCCACAACAAAAAGAAAGGTGATATCACAGAGGTAGGCCAAACTGTGGACCCCAGTGCATGACCTCACTTCCTTGGCGATAGGTCCAAACAGAACTCTGAAGGCTCAGGTCACCAGGCACCTTGGTCTGGTGACAGTTGGTCTTCACAGGTAGTTGGCTCATGACAGAGAGCAGGGAGCAAGTTAGGCTGCTTTCCCAGGACATGAGACCCCAGCCTCAGGATCCTTCATAGGTAGACCATGTGGGAATAGCTGAAAAAATGGTTCACTCATCCCAGAGCCTTCAGGATGATTGTGGGCAAATGCCAAATGACAAGGGCATTAAAGGACAGGGCTCACTGTCCCCAGCTTTCTGGCACCCAGAGGCAGGAGAGAGACCAGGACAGGTGTCACTAGACTCAGCCACAAGCCACTCAGACTCACTGAGTCCAGCAGAGTAACATTAAGGCCTGACTACCACTGTGAATCCCCCTACACAATTCCTGCCCTAAGTCAAGTGTGACTGGGTCTGACATGCCCTGAGGGCAGATCCTGGGAGGATGCAAGCCTGGGCCACTGTCAGGTTCCCACCCAAGACAGGGCTGGCAGAGCAGAGGGGCAGCACCCCTGTTTAATCCACAGTCTCCAGATTCCTCTTCTGTCTTCCTGGGTAGAATTATGGGACAGAGCTGTCTGTCTTACAGAAATATAATATTATCTGTGTTCACAAAGAAAAACCAGTGTTGTCTCAGAGCCTCAGAGCCTCTGGCTTCCTGCCAGAAGCTGTGCTCTGCCTCAGCAGAGTGGCATATAGGACACCAGTCTAGAGGCGGTCACAAAGCTATGTGTTCCATGGCCTTGCAGCAGACTCTGGGAACCACAACAGGTGCTGGCTCAGGCACAAAGTGTGTGTACAGAAAGGACTATAGAGACTCTCAGATGACAGAGAGTATCTTCGGGTCAGTGCTACACTGTACTTAACTTTGAGAATTTGCATGAAACTGTAGCCAGAGTTATTGACCCTGTGATTATCCATGGAAATTTTAAAAATGTTTTCTAAGGAAAGTAGAAAAAGAAACAGTTATGTACAGCTATGTTTCATTGCAGTACACTGACAGCTCTGAACCCAGCAGACCATGTCATGAGGCTGGTGATATGCACATCACCACCTAAATAAGGCCAAAGTTTCTACAAATGCTGGAGGTAAAATATGGAAATGCTTTAACAACAAAAAAAGTTGAAATAAAATATCCTGAATATGCACTTAATATGCCAAATATAAACTAGGCCTGGTGGCTCTTGTGTGGAGCCCAGTACTTGAGACACTAAGGAAGGAGAATTGTTTGAGACCACTCTGGGTTATAATGTGACCTCAAAGCCAGCCTGAACTTCATAGCAACATGCTTCCTCAAAAAGATAAATATATCAAATCTAATGAACGTAATAGTGTACTAGTGATGGCCTTGTGACATTAGCATGACTATTATATTTATAATGACCTGTAGTCTACTGGAAAACCTAAGTCACAGCCGACTTCACAATAAAATATCAAACTGTTTATCAAATGGAGTACACTAGTGAGTATTTGTTGTTTGTCATTGGTATTTGGTGGTGATGGAGCAGTGCTTGCTGCTGTCTCCACAGAAAAATGACTATTGCTGCAGTAACAGGAATCTGCATGAATCACTGCAATATGTCCTTAACTCTTTGGGGAAGAGACACACTAAAGGAGGCACTGCACTAATGAGAATTACTGATTTTAGTCTTTTGAATACTTTAAAAACTGACTTCAGTAGTAGTTGAACTACTTACCTACATTTCCACCAACAAGATTAAATAGTTCCTTTTCTCCTGTAGTCTCCTGAATGTTCTTTAGATCTTATGGTGATTAGTTCTCTCTGCAGTGAAATGATGTTCCTGTTTGCATTTCTCTATTGTGCAAAAATGCTCAATAGTTCTTCAAGTATTTCTTGGCAATTTGTACATATTCTGAAAAATGTGCATTCCTTGGATGTTCCTATTGGTTTTACATGTTAGCTGTCAGGGATTAATAGGCAAAATTTCTCTCATTCTGTAGTTTATTTCTTCATCCTTTTGGTTTGACTTTTTTGTGGCTTCTATGTTTATGCAGGAGGATTACAATCTTACAAAGTCCTTTTTGCTTGTTTTGTCACCCTACCTTATTTTCTACACAAAACAGCAGCAATAGTATTAAAAAATGTTTTTTAATACCTCTACATTCAGAACACAGAATGTCTGGCTCTTTCATGTTTCATTATGTTTTACTCCAATAGAGGCATGTTTGAGACTGCTGCACAAATTACCAAAAAAGTACACTTCCTGAATAAAAGAAAAATCACAATTTGCAGTAGTGATTCTTTTACCCTACCATACATTTATATTATTGACCTCAATGTACTTGTTTCCTTAAACTTCAAATGCAGGCATAAAAACAACTGTTTCATACTCTGCTAAACCATCTAGCAATTTCCTCCCAAAATCAGCTTTAAAGCCATTATCATCCCATCTCATTCTCTCCTGATGCTTGAACTAAAGAAATCATCTTTAGCCTAATCTTTACAGGTAACTCCTTACCAATTCAATTATTTAAATACAAAATGATCAAAAATTGCATACTTTTTGTTAGTTTTTATAAAATAGCAAGGAATATAAAAGTGAAAATTCTACTGTATTCAATACAAGAATGAATGGGTTAAATTGACAACTGCCCAAATGATGCTCATGATGGTCACTGCAAAAACAAATGTGTTTCACAAGTGATTCTCCGGAATAACTGCTACATGGCCAACCAATAAAAGGACAACTACTGATGTGCAATTGTGAGTATTAAAAAATGTTGATGCTGGGGAAGAAAAGGAGGAGATCTAAAGCATTAAGCAACATCTGCAGAACTTGAAGATATATTTTGAGACAAGCCACTCTAATTGTGTAGGTTAGACTCAACTTCCTCTTCCACTAATTTAAGCCTGCTGAGGTGCTAGGACTACAAGCATGCATCAACAGGACCAGCAAGATTTACTTTCATGGTAAAATGAGAAAGTGCATGTACTCAGGATATATGTCTTATAGATTCAGTATTCTATTATTAGCTGTAATACAAACTCCAAATATTCCCATTAATGCTAAGCAGAAATATGCTGCAGGGGATCTGGCCACATGCTGTAGTGCATAGAGGCTGACAATGTACTTCACAGTGTCTTTTACTTTGTGAAGTATATCAGGTTCTTCAGGTACAAAATAGATATAGTTTTAGTGGTGATTACATAAGAGGTGAGTAATTTATTTTCCCAAGGATAATTGAGACTTGGGCAAGCTATCTTCACTGGGTTAGGGGTATTTAATGCAATTATCACTTGTGTCTTCATGACACCACTGTTTTTAACAACATAATTCCTAAGCAGATTTTGTATTCAAGAACACTGCATTAAACACGTTACAAATTACATGAATGTTAAAATGGAAGTGAAAACCACAGGCCACAGGAAACCAACTGGGACTCATGGCCCAGTGTACGTGATTAAAGATAATCAGTACACACCACAAACATCATGCACTGGTCATTATAAATAAAGTGATATGCCATTGTATAAATTCACAATTCAGTAAAACAGAACACAATCTGAATCTTAATTTAGCAAATTTACTTTTTACTGTGTTGACAGCTCAAAATTTAGGTTTCCCTTCATGCCATTACTTCTGTATTTTAGGAAAAAACAGTAATAATTACAAAATATATAATGCATTCACAGCATCAAGGAATGAAATAAAGGCATTTGCATGATACATCCAATAACAACATTTTCCCCCAAAACAACCCCTATTTAAAAAAATTGATTTCAAAGTATGTTTACTCATAAATCATGCCAAATTTTATAATTTCTGGAGATATTGATATATATATATTGTGATGTGCTATTGGAGACAAGTTATGATTCTATCAGTATGGCACAATCAGAAATTCACAGTAGTATGGTTTACATTTGGTACATGTGGGGAAACTTTACTAGCAAATAAAGATGTAATATAAACATAACAAGTAAAATTCTGATGGTTAGAAAAACAAAGGTTTACTTAAATGACAAATATTGGCTCCACTGAGAAACAAAATCAGGCAACATAATTTACATGGTATAATATCCAGTGATGTTAGGAAATCAGCAGATGTCTTGTCTCCACTTGGAAAACATAACATTCATTAATGTACAAGTTATGTGAAAAAGAACACAACTTTGTCAAAAACACATACTCCAAGCCTCTACAAATGTATATCTTAATGCCAAATATTGCCTCAACTTCAGGAACATTATTTATGAAAGAGAAAATGAAGCATGTGCATCAAAAGATTAAAACAATGCCATGTTAAAATTACAATTCCCCAAAAAATTAGAGACTAGACTAATATCACTCTGAACAGTGAATAATAGTATTGCTCAATTTTATATCATAATGCTGCAGAATTAGCATTGGGTTTCTTAGTGTCACTTCTTCAGAGTATCTGTTCATTACATTATGCATTATATTATTTGTTTAAATAAATAGGTTTGAAATTCTTCCGATGTGTGAATCTCTATGTGTGTATCTATCCTTTCTGTGTTATGGGGGAAAACAGATCAAAATAAGACAACAAAACAAATTCCTAGAAAATCATGATATGAAAGAGAGATATAAGACCACAATATTAGGTGATATACACTACTTACTATGCTTTCTCTTGTTATTTTCAATAGAATTGTCTACATCATCAGGGACTATACAAGTAAGCACAACATTATATAGCTATTTTTATAAATACGCAACTTTGAAGATGTTGTAGGATGTGAAAGCAGTTAATAATCAAACCTGATGTAGAACCCGTGGTTTCCTGCCAAGACCAGCAAGTCAAGCCAATAATGATCAGAAGGGATGAAGAAGGTCACTACATAGTGCTTAGGGGAAAACTCCAAGAGGAAGAGAAAACTATCTTAAATTTACATGCACCAAACTCCAGAGCACCCAATTATATAAAACAAGTACTAACAAAAATGAAAAATCAAATTAGTAGTAACACAATTCTAACAGGAGATCTTAACACACCACTGACACCAATGGACAGATCAACCAGACAGAAAATGAGCAAAGAAATAAAAGAACTGAATCGCAACTGTGAATAAATGGACTTAATAGACATATACAGTGTATTCTACCCAACAACAACAGAATACACATTCTTCTCAGTATTACATGGGTCATTCTCTAAAATAGACCATATGTTAATTCACAGAGCATATTTAAATAAATGCTAAAGGGTTGAAAGTATCCCTTGCATGCTACCAGACCATACCACTATGAAATTAGAAATTAATGATAAAAGATACTGCAAAAATCCCACAAACACATGGAAACAGAATAACACTCTTGAGGAATCAGTGAGTCACAGAGGAAATTAAAGAAGAAATTAAACAATACCTACAAACAAATGGAAACACAAATACAATGTACCAGAATCTGTGTGATGCAATGAAAGCTGTCCTCTGAGGAAAATTTATTGCACGAGTTCCCACATTAGGAAAACAGAATGAATACAAATAAATAACCTGATGTTATACCTCAAACATCTAGAAAAAGAAGAGCAAGTCAAGCCCAAAGCCAAAAGAAAAGAAGAAATTATAAATATCAAAGCAGAAATCAATGCAATAGAGACTAAAAAAACAATCCAAAAAATCAATGAATCAAAGACCTGGTTCTTTGAAAGAATAAATAAAATTGAAAAGCCCCTAGCCAACCTCATTTAAAAAATGGAAGAAAAAGTTCAAATGCAAGCAATAAGGAATAAAAGAGGTGAAATTACTACAGACCCTATTGAAATACAGAAGATCATCAACACCTATTTCAAAAACTTCTACTCTCAAAGTTTTATAACACAGAGCAAATAGACAGATTCCTAAAGCATATGAAGTACCACAGCTAGGTCATGAAGATGTAAAACTACTGAATAACCCAAATTCTATTAATGAAATTGAAAACATAATAAAATCATTACCTACAAAGAAGAGCCCAGGCCCAGACGGATTCACTGAAGAATTCTACAAGAAATATAAAGAAGACCTAATGCCAACACTCCGCAAACTCTTCAATGAAATGGAAAGGGAAGCAATCCTTCATAAATTGTTCCTAGAAGCAAATATTACTCTAGTACAAAAATCAGAGGAGGACCCAACTGAGAAAGAGAACTACAGACCAATCTGCCTAATGAAGGAGGATGCAAAAATCCTCATTAAAATTTTGGCAAATAGGATGCAGCAAATCAACAAGATCATATATCATGATGAAGGGGGATTCATCTCAGGCATGCAGAGATTGTTTAATATATGTAAATCAATAAATGTAATACACCATATCAATAGAGCCAAAAGTTATAATCACATGATCATTCCTATAGATACAGAAAAGGCTTTTGATAAGGTCCAACATTCATTTATGATAAGAGCCTTGCAGAAGATTAGATTAGATGGTCCTTACCTCAATATAATTAAGGCCAGCAATGACAAAACAACAGCCAGTACCATACTAAATGGTCAAAAATTGAAGGCCTTTACTTTAAAATCAGGCACAAGACAAGGATGTCCCTTTCACAGCTCCTATTTAATATACTACTGATAATACTGGGCAGAGCAATTAGACAAGAGAGAAATAAAAGGCTTAAATATAGGAAAAGAAGAAGTTAAATTATCATTATTTGCAGATGACATGATACTTTATATAGAAGATCCCCGAAGCTCTATTGAAAGACTCCTAGATATAATAAATTCAGTAATGTAGCTGGATAGAATCAATACTCAAAAATCAATAACATTCCTATACACTAACAAACAAAGTCACAGAGAGAGAAATAAGAGAGGCCACACCCTTCACACTAGCAACCAAAAAAATGAAATATTTAGGAATTACTCTCATGAAAGAAGTGAAAGACCTACACAGGGAAAATTATAACACACTGAAAAATGAAATTGAAGTTGATCTCAAAAAAAGGAAAGACATCCCTTACTCATGGATAGGAAGAATAAATATTGTGAAAATGGCCATTCTCCCTAAACTTTTATATAGATGCTATGTAATCCCGATAAAAATACCATCAACATACCTCATAGAACTTGAGAAATCACCCTAAAATTCATCTGGAATGAGAAGAAACCTACAATAGCAAGGACAGTTAGAAGCAGCAAAAGCAAGGCAGGAGGTACCACAATCCCTGACTTGAAGTTATACTACAAAGCAACTGTAATAAAATCAACATGCTACTGGAATCGAAACAGAGCCGAAGATCAGTGTAATAGATGAGAAGATACAACAACTACAAACACACTCAACTGCCTTATCTTTGATAAATGGGCCAAACATGTTCACTGGAAGAATCACATTCTCTTTAATAAATGGTGGTGAAAAACTGGCTCTCCATATGCCTAAAACTAAAACTAGACCCATGCCTATCACCATGTACTAAAATAAAATCTAAATGGATCAAAGATCTAAATATTAAAACAGAAACACTAAATCTATGGGAAGACAAATTGGGTAAAAACCTTGAAGACATAGGAGTAGGTAGAGAATTGATGAACAGGACTCAAACCGCATGGGAAATGCTTCCCAGAATCAATAACTGGGATCACCTCTTATAAAAAAGTTTCTGCACATCAAAAGAAATTTCCAGTATAGTGAAAAGAAAACCCACAAACTAGGAAAATGTCTTAGTGAACTGCCCCTCAGACAGAGGTCTTCTGTCTATAACATATAAAGCATTTTAAAAAATGAGACCACCAAAATTCAAAGACCCAATCCAAAAATGAGCATCTGAGATGAATAAACAATTTTGAGATGAAGAAATACAAATGACAAATAAATACATGAAAAAATGTTCACCATCAATGGTCATTATAGAAATTCAAATTAGAACCACACTGAGATTTCATCTCACTCTTGAAAGAATGGACAAGATCAAGAAAACTACCAACAACACATGTCAGAGATGCTGTTGGGAAAAAGGAACTCTTCTGCACTGTTTTTGGGAGTGTAGACTGGTGCAACCATTGTGGAGATCAGTCTGGAGATTTCTCAGAAAGCTGGGACTGGAAGCACCTTTTGACCCAGCTATTCTACTTATAGGCATATTCACAGAAGAACTGAAAGCATCATTCCGCAGTGATATATGTGCACCCATTTTTATAGCAGCACAGTTTGTAATAGCCAGATCTTGGAAACAACCTAAGTGTCCATCAACTGGGTAATGGATAAAAAAGTTATGGTGTTTTTATACAATGGAGTACTACTCAGCTATAAAGAATGATCACATTGACATATAAATAAATAGATGCAGATTGAGACCATACTCATAAGTGAAATAAATCAAACTCACATGTATAAATACTGAATATATTTCCTAGTATAAAAAATGATAATACATAGAAGTATGTAGTAATCATGATACCCAATCATATTGGTTTGAATCCATATAATGTTTTCACTCATTATTAAGTGCAATGCAATCCCGATAAAAATACCATCAACATACCTCATAGAACTTGAGAAATCATCCCTAAAATTCCTGTGGGATGAGAAGAAACCTAGAATAGCAAGGACAGTTAGAAGCAGCAAAAGCAAGGCAGGAGGTACCACAATCCCTGACTTGAAGTTATACTACAAAGCAACTGTAGTACAATCAACATGGTATTAAGTGCAATGGTTTTACCCTGGGTTTTTCGATTTTAGTATCACTGATAGTATGAATAGCTATTCTGAAGAAAATAACACATCATAAAAGCTAGTCCTGATTTAATATCATCTTCTTTGGAACTCCCATCAAGCTGTTGTACATGTTACCACTGGTTTTAACATGTTGTATCTTAATATATTTTACTGTATGTGATAGTATAAATAAAAATTTTCACAGGCAAAGAGATAATATAGAAATCGTTGTCCATTTTCTGTTAACTGGCTCTAAATAGCCTGTAATTCTTTCATTCTCTTGAATGGCTTCACACTGTCTTGATATGATTGATTCTATAGTATACGACATTATACTCAAACAATTCAAGGAAAGAGGCACTATGGTGACTAATATTATGTTAGATTATCTGGTGGTGAAACAAAATGCTTTAATTGTGCAGTTCTGACCTGTGTTGTTCTATGACAATGTCTCTTTTATCTCGATCTCCACCCTTTTAAAAAGTTATTCTATGTTTTCTTATTTTTATTTCAATTAAAATAAAACTAAATTAAAAAATAGCGGGATATATTATAGTAACTTTTTTGTTTTCCTATTAACCTGATTTTAACCCCAGTATTGCTCTCCCCATCTTATTCTGCCTGATTTTACTATATTCTATTTTGTTTGATAGTATCAAGTTTCGGGTATAGGCAACCACTTTGTAGGCAATAAGATTTACTATGATGCCCATTATGGTTTGACTATTATCTTCTTTTGAAATACTATAAGGTCTCCAGTGTAGATTTTATTGGTCTTGTTCTGTACTGTTTTGATCAATTCTATTATACCTGATGATATAGCAACTTTTTAAAAAAATAGCAAGAGGCACAATGGTAACCATTTTTGATCACCTGATATTCTATTTTTGCATCAAGTACTATGCCCATCCATATGTTCTAACCAACTCTGTTTTTTTTAACTCACTTGAGGTTTTATTCTCTTCAAAAAAAGTAATAAGAGCTATGGGAGTAAAAAAAAACCCCAAAAGTGTAAATGTAATTGTGAAGAAAAGAGGAAAGGAAGGTAGTCTAAGAGATATAATTGCCTGTTTGAGTGTATAGGAAGGAAAACCATATTACTGAGCTTTGTTGGTTCATTGAATGCAACTGTCTGGAATCTCGCTGTAGGAATGTTCACTTTATATGCTTTAATTTTATAATTTGGACAACTGTTTCTACGAAGACAATATGTAACCTATTAACTGGTGATTTCTTACTGTATTTTTTCTTGAAATTCTGTATGATTTGTACCCTTTTACTGCTTTGTTTTTTATGTTCTTTTTTTTTCTCTTTAAATAAAAAAAATTAAACCTGGAATTTATATCTTTTATTTATTTTTTGGTACTGGGGATCAAACTGATTACCTAACACTTGCCAGGCAGGGGCTTAAGCCACTGAGCTAAATCCCCATCCCCCCAATATATATCTTTCACATCTTATCATCTTCAGAGTAGTGGCCTCTACTCTTGGACTTGATACCAGCAAGCATACCAAATGTGAATAAAATCAGTCAAGGCCAAATGACATTCAAACAAACCTGCTTCCAATAAGATCAGTCATAGTAAGACAATGTAAGTAATACAGGGTTTCAGTTTTAGTTAATAGGAAATTAAGGACAGTTACCATCATGGTATAACCTGCTATTTTTGGGTTACCTCTCTGTGCCCTCAAATCTAATATGAGTAGACAGACCAGAACAAAATATAATCAAACTAAACAGAGCAATAGAACTACTGTAGCTTTTAAATCCTGATACACTTTTAACAATTTCCTCTGCCTTCTTTTTTTAGGCAATTCCTCACCTTTCTCCTTCTCAGGATACTATTATTCACTGTTCAGAGTGATAGTAGTTTAGTGTCTTATGTTCAGTTTCAGCATACATAAAAATAAAGACATCTACTATGAAGAGAATGAGACACATTATGGTAATCATTATCAACTTCCCCAACATCAGTCTTGAAGTTCAAAAAAGCCTGCATCATCCTGTAATTATTTGATTAGTTCTATAATGTTCAGTATATATTCAATGCTTGTGAAGATGGGAACAACTATTTTGAAGAAAACTAGAGACAGTAAGATAGACAATGAACATCTCAGTGGACTTGCTTTGAAACCTGTTTCCTTAACTTGTTTCCTTATGAACTGTTCTGTTTTGTCATGTTTAACTTTACCATCTTTAAGATAAAAAAACAAGTTTGTAGAACAGATAAGCATATTAATAAGTTTTTTTGGATCACTGAGGTAAATTGTTCGCAGTGTCATTATTTGAATATCACTTTGTATACTTTAATTTTGTAACTTGAACAATTACCTCTAAGATGACAATATGTAATTAATCACTAGTGATTTCTTATTGTTTATTTTTCAGAAATTCTGTTTTATTTCTACACTTTTTGGTTTTTTTCTTTAAATAAAAATTCACAAAAATATGAAAATTAAGTTTTAAAGACAAAATGTTAAGTACATAGACACTATCCATACTTGAAAGTAAAAAGCCCATTTCAGTTTACCATGTTTAATTACAAGATGCCATGTTGAAGCACAGACACATTAAAAAATCTAAAGAGGTATAAGTGATTAACTGAAACCCATACAAAATGTGTACTTGAGTAGAGCTCCACTTCAGATTTGTCATTTCTGGAAAATCGTGAAGAAATATTGACATCAAACTTCTGTATTGATTATTTCTTCAGGTCTACTTGGAATTTTTAAAATAAACTTAGATCTAAACTATCTGAAGAGTGCTGCTTTTTCTATGTATTTAACAATAAATATGGATTGCCATATGTTCCACACTGTTAATACACATAGGATCCAGTGAGCTCTTTCAGCTATGTAACAATGATCATGTGTGATGAGAGTATTCCCATAACACATAGGATTTATCTCTTGTGTGAGTTTCTTCATGTATTTCACTTACAATTTGGATGCTGAAAGTGTCTCCACTTGCTTACGTAGCCAGTGATTCATCCCACTGTGAATTGTTTCATCTGTTTTGCAATGACTGTATGTGGTAAAAGCTTTGCCACATTGTTACATGTATAGGGTTTCTCGACCAGTGTGGAGTCATTGATGTATTTTACAAAATCCATGTGTGGTGAAAGCTTTCCCACATTCTTCACATAAACAGGGTTTCTCAACAGGGTAAATTTTTTCATGTATTGGACAATGAGCATTTCTGCTGAAACCTTTCCCACATTCCTTAGATATATAAGTTTTCTGCCCAGTGTGAAGTTTTTCATGCATTATGCAATATGTAATTGTGGTCAAAAATTCTCATGATGCTTATATACACTGGTTTTATCTTGAATATGAACTTTCATGTTGCTTACAATATCCATGTCGGGTAAAATCTTTCCCACATTGTTTACATACATATGGTTTCTCACCAGTGTGAATTCTTTCATGTACCTTACACTGTCCATGTGTGTTAAAATCTTTCCCACATTGCTTACATACATAGGGTTTCTCTCCAGTGTGAATTCTTTCATGTTGCTTACAATGTCCATGTCGGGTAAAAGCTTTCCCACATTGCTTACATACATATGGTTTCTCACCAGTGTGAATTCTTTCATGATCCTTACAACGTCCAGGTGTGGTAAAAGCTTTCCCACATTGCTTACATACATAGGGTTTCTCTCCAGTGTGAATTCTTTCATGTTTCTTACAATCTCCCTGTGTGTTAAAAGCTTTCCCACATTGCTTACATACATATGGTCTCTCTCCAGTGTGAATTCTTTCATGTTGCATACGATGTACAGAATTGGTAAAACCTTTTCCACACTGCTTACATACATAGGGTTTCTCTCCAGTGTGAATTCTTTCATGATTCTTACAACCTCCCCGTCTGTTAAAAGCTTTCCCACATTGCTTACATACATAAGGTTTCTCTCCAGTGTGAATTCTTTCATGTCGCTTACAATGTCCATGTTGGGTAAAAGCTTTCCCACATTGCTTACATACATATGGTTTCTATCCAGTGTGAATTCTTTCATGTACCTTACACTGTCCATTTTTGTTAAAATCTTTCCCGCATTGCTTACATACATATGGTTTCTCTCCAGTGTGAATTCTTTCATGTTGCTTACAATGTCCATGTCGGGTAAAAGCTTTCCCACATTGCTTACATACATAGGGTTTCTCTCCAGTGTGAATTCTTTCATGTCGCTTACAATGTCCATGTCGGGTAAAAGCTTTCCCACATTGCTTACATACATAGGGTTTCTCTCCAGTGTGAATTCTTTCATGTTTCTTACAATCTCCCCGTGTGTTAAAAGCTTTCCCACATTGCTTACATGCATAAGGTTTCTCTCCAGTGTGAATTCTTTCATGTTTCTTACAATATCCCCGTGTGTTAAAAGCTTTCCCACATTGCTTACATACATATGGCCTCTCTCCAGTGTGAATTCTTTCATGTTGCATACGATGTCCAGAGTTGGTAAAACCTTTTCCACACTGCTTACATACATAGGGTTTCTCTCCAGTGTGAATTCTTTCATGATTCTTACAACCTCTCCATCTGTTAAAAGCTTTCCCACATTGCTTACATACATAAGGTTTCTCTGCAGTGTGAATTCTTTCATGTCGCTTACAATGTCCATGTTGGGTAAAAGCTTTCCCACATTGCTTACATACATAGGGTTTCTCTCCAGTGTGAATTCTTTCATGTCGCTTACAATGTCCATGTCGGGTAAAAGCTTTCCCACATTGCTTACATGCATAGGGTTTCTCTCCAGTGTGAATTCTTTCATGTTTCTTACAATCTCCCCGTGTGTTAAAAGCTTTCCCACATTGCTTACATACATATGGTCTCTCTCCAGTGTGAATTCTTTCATGTTGCATACGATGTACAGAATTGGTAAAACCTTTTCCACACTGCTTACATACATAGGGTTTCTCTCCAGTGTGAATTATTTCATGATTCTTACAACCTCCCCATCTGTTAAAAGCTTTCCCACATTGCTTACATACATAGGGTTTCTCTCCAGTGTGAATTCTTTCATGTCGCTTACAATGTCCATGTCGGGTAAAAGCTTTCCCACATTGCTTACATACGTAGGGTTTGTCTCCAGTGTGAATTCTTTTGTGTATTTTACAACTTGCCTGTGTGTTCAAAGCTTTGCCACATTGCTTACATACATAGGGTTTCTCTCCAGTGTGAATTTTTTCATGTTTCTTAAAATATCCCCTTGTGTTAAAAGCTTTGCCACATTGCTTACATACATAGGGTTTATCTCCAGTGTGAATTCTTTCGTGTTTCTTAAAATGTCCCCTTGTGTTAAAAGCCTTCCCACATTTCTTACATACATAGGGTTTCTCTCCAGTGTGAATTATGTCATGTTGCTTACTGTGTCCAGATTTGGTGAACCCTTTTCCACATTGCTGACATACATAGGATTTCTCTCCACTGCAATATTTTTCATGGATCTGAATATTGTGGTGTGTTTCGGCTTCTTTCACATTCACATTACCTTCTGCAGTACAAGGGAATAATTCTTTACACTGATTCCAAGATGTATGTCCATAGGATTTCCCTAGCTTGTCATTTCTGTAAAAAAAAAATCACATATGGGATTGATAACCATATTACTAATTTTTTATGGCAGAGTTGAACAAAACTGTTTGCAGTCTCGCTGTGTATCCCCACTTCATAAGTTTCACTTTTGTATTTCATTAAGTATTTCTATGAGTAGCATATGTAATCATTGTCTTTATATATCTTACTGTTTATTTTCACTTTGAAAGTGGTATCATTTCTACTTATTTTGTTTTTTTTAGTCTTTTCTTACATTAAATAAAAAAAGAAACACTCACAGTGAAATGGGTCTCAGTTTTATGACTGCATTAATGTCAAATTCTGTTTTTAATGCCTTCTAAGAAATTCTTACCGTGAATTAACAGAATGGCCTTGTAAGACATGTTGAAAACAACCATTCCCAAAAGACTGGTACATGTTTGGAAATCTTAAAATGTGGTACCTTTTGAAACACGGAATGTTTACCTTCACTTTGGGCATGGGTACATATGTGTATCACATACAGATCATTCTGATATGTTTCCCCATCACAATCTCCCTTCTGTCCTTAACCTGCAGTTCCCTTTTCCATATGGTCTGTCTTACTTTTCTCTATTAACTCTTTCATTTCATTCCACAATTTATATTTTGGTTTCTCATCTAAAAGGTACCCTGTGAACTTTTAGGTTTTATAGCTGAGCTATTTCACCGAATTGATGGGAGAAAGAACCACCTATTTCTTATGGCAAATGACATTATATTATTTATTTTTTGACATTATATAAGACTTTTTTTCTTTTCCATGCTGGGAATGAACAACAGCTATTAGCATAAAATCTATAGCTTTTAAAATGTGTTTTAAGAGATTTTCACTGATCATTAAGCTGTGAAGTTTGAACTTGAATTTGCCATTCTGCAAAAGCTGATTCCTAGTGTGCTAGGTTTACAAGAATGCACAATCCAGAAAGTCTATTAACATTTTCCTTCTCCACAAATCCAGTGATAGATAGCTAAGCTTCTTCAAGCCCTGATGTATTATAACTTGATCTGCTTTGTAAATGAGTAAGCATGTACCAGTATTTTATGTGCATCTTGAATTTTTAAAAATATATCCAGGACAAGTATGAGGGGATCAATTTCTAGAGACAACTGCACACTGATACTCAGAATCAGTGCACTTAACATTCTACCTGCCTTCTAAGAATTTTATTCAGAATGGCTGATTTATGAGCTTGGCTTGGAAACACAAGAACTCCATTTTATTTCAAATTCTATTGCAATCTTAGTAATGTTTAGATGATGAATGTATTATATTCACATGTATATATGGGTAGAAAAACTGAAGGGAGAATGTTATAACTCCTTATATGTCTTCGGATAATATTACTGACAATAAATTGAATGGTGCCTCATTTCTTGGCGGTATTTTTCTCCTGACTCACTAATTACTCAGGAACATTCCTCCTCCTTTTGAGTGCGAATTACCTTAAGTATCTCCAGTAAATTTTGCATTCTTTTTCAGGTTCCTGGATATTCCCAAGTCCTCCTGAATTGCAGACATAGAAATACCAGCGCTCATTAGAATAATACATACAAATTAATAGATTTTGTTTAGAGTTATGATATAATGTGTCCAGGTCTCAGTTATTTTTAAAAATATTTTCACATTGTGTTTAATGAAACAGCACTGATGAGCGACATACAACATTCTGACAGCATGAGTGACAAAAGTATTTTGTCCTTACCTATTGCAGTCATGTTCCTAAAGGTTTCGCCCATCACATCTCTGTAGAGGTTCTTTTGGGATGGACTCAACAAAGTCCACTCCTCATTGCTGAAGTTCACAACCACATCCTCAAAGGTCACCGCCTCCTAAAGGATCATACATATATTTCTCACACGAAGGTTGAGACACCAGGTTTGGGATATCTTAAATTCTCTCCTACAAATCTGAATCAAAAGCAAAGTGTGGTGGTATATATCTATAATGCCAGCACTCAAAAGGCTGAGGCAGGATGGTTTCAGTGAGTTCAGGGCAATTCTAGGCTCCATAGGGTATTCAAATCCAGCTGATATACATATAGAAAGCTTGTCTCAATAAAACAAAACAAAACTAAACAAATACAACCAAACAAAACAGCTGAATGAAGACTGATGTCTTCAAATTTAAATCTATGTCTTGGTCATTTGTGTCTATACACATTTTTGAAGACAGCAAATTTGATGCTGGATTGCAACTCACTGCTAATGTAACAGTGAAATAGGAGCACTGATTCTTGTGCTGAGTCACTGCAATATTCCCTGTGTACTGTCTCTAATGCAGAGCTCACAGTGAGAAGCCTGCAGGACCAGCATCCACAAAGTACAGAGACAGATAAATATCCCATCAATCAACTGGGAAGCCAAGCAAGCACCTCCATTCCCTGGTAAGTGGTGGCGGGGTGGCAGACTGGGGCCCATCCAGGGGGCAAACCAGCAGCAGCTCCTGAGATCCATGCCATGCTGGAATTTAGGACACTTGGAAGGCAAGCAAGCACCACTTCTCCCTGGTAAGCAGTGGCGGTCTGGCAGAATGTGGCCCTTCCGGGGGAGAACCAGCAGCAGCTCCTGAGATCCACGCCATGTGGGAACATAGGACGCTGTGAAACCAAACAACCAGCCTGTCTCCCTACTATGCAATAGTGAACCTACTGACGCAGGGCCAAGAATCAAACATCCCACTTCCCTACCCCTCTTCTCCTGTCACCCCCCGTTAGCAAATGGGGAACAGAAATCTGAGTGTCTCCTGGGAAGCAGACCATAACAAATAAGGGGAACTTCCTTCTACTATCTCTTTGAAGGCAAATATTTTTATTACCGTTTTACTCTATTTTGATTAATGGTATTGCTCTATTCAAAATTCTGTTTTGATAAGTACTATAATGTTCTGTATTTCATCTCATTTTGATATATGTGTTTGAAAGAACAACTATTATAAAGATAATAAAATATACTGTGATACCTATTACTCTTATCGCAGTAACCTGTTGTGAAGTTGTGTACCAATTTCACTGTATGATCTTAGTTGGCCTTATTCTGCCTTGTTCTGTTTTATTTTACCACTTTCAAAATTTGAAAAAAGGAAAAAAAATTTCATCAATCACTTTGATAGGCTGCAGATAATGTCTCTTCAAATCTCATTTAGGCCAGTGAGTACTTTGTTCTTAATATACCTCAGCAGCATTTTGAAACATGAATTTGGTTTCATAGAACAAAACATAAATAACCTCCAATATGGTACACAACTAATAACTCAAATGTTAGTGGAAAATGCTGTTTTTAAAAAATAAGTATATAAAACGGAACCAGGCCCAAGCTGTAATTTATAGCTCACTGTCACCAAGCGATCACTTCCAATTCAGGTATAAGGAATATATCTTGTGAGGCTGGTGAAGGACTTCTTCCTTGGACTTGGGACTATCCTAAGTTACAGAGCTGTCTAAAGTAGATAAACCTTGACTGAGACACCCCACAGACAAAGTGAAACTTGAAAAGAGACTGCATAAGACACCTTTAGTCTGTTTTTAAAAATTATAGCCATACAATATGGGAAAATTCCAACAATATTCAACACTTTATGAGAAACAATGTGGATACCTTCCATACAACAAAGATAAACTTGGGTATTTAGCTCAGTGTCATGAACACCTGCCTGGAAAGCATAGGTCATGAGTTTGATCCTTGGTACAAAAAAAATGCACATTTTACCTTCATGACACTGGGGGCATAATTAGAGATAATCCAAATTAGATCTCAAGTATGGAACACAAAATTCATGGGTTGACAAGGATGTGAAATACTGATTGTTGCCAGAGCTGGTGTTGATCACCTCCAGGAAGCAATCAGAAACCAACTTTAACTTTACACTTACTCTAAGAACTACCTGAATTTCAGTGAAGACCCTCTTTGTTGTATGTCCTGCTATTGGCTTCCTGAATTCTGTCAGTCACTTGCACATCCCTTCCACACTCCTCTGATCCATCCTCAGCAGGAAACCCTTCATGCCTAACTATTGATACCACTGCAAAATTTCTGTTTAGCGCTTCTCCTTTACACCACTTCATAAATTCCATTGCAGAGCATTTCCATATTTAAACTGTCTCTGAACAACCAAGACACTAAATCAGCTCTTAATTCAGAGATGACACACCTATTCCTTTCCATTCAGAAGGATATCACGTGTATATGTGCATGCAAATGCCTGAATTTCAGCATTTTTTGATGAGAATTTGACAGGTAGCCCTTTCTGGAATTTTTCCTCCACAAATTTTTACCCTGTCCTTGATAACACTTTCATATTTGCTTCATTTTTCTCAGACTTCAAAACTCTATGGCTGTGCTCACAAACCTAGTCTGTGAGCAAGGGTGCCACCTAAATAATTAAGTATGTTCAGAAATTATTTTGCACTGATCTGTATAATACACAGGAGTTCACGAGTTGTTTGGGAAGCCTTTTTCCACTGAGGCACACTACTACACATCTATGAATTCTCAGGACCTTTGCCACTACCTGTCATGAGGATGTAAATATGAGAACATAGTATAAATTGAGGAGATCACTATAAATACAAAAAAGCCCAAGTTTAAGTTGAACCATTGTGGCAATGAGACCCTGCATTACAGACATTAATAAACTTTGGACATTCCAGATCTTCTACTCTGAGGATAGAGAGCAGAAACCTAGCTAATTACTGCTCTACAAGCTACAAAAACATCATAGTCAGGGTCTTCTCAAGCTCCTTCCAATGACTAAGATTGTGGAGTTTCTAGGCCAGCAGTGAATTCCAAAGATGATACTTGAGTCTGCTGCTGTAATAGTGAAGCCAGGGATCTGGGGACCCCAAATCACCCTTGTCAACAGCAAGAGGCAAAAGGGAGAGTGAATGACCCATGGCCAATGCTGGAGGACCTCAGGAGCTGAAGCTAACTAAATACCTGAGGCTCCAGACACAGGAATTACTTCTACATACTTGTAACTGGTTTCACCAAATCCACCCTAACTCTGGGCTCCCATCCACAACCTCACCATTTCATGGCTCCAGGATCTCTCAGGTTCTTTGCTAATCAGGCCACAGGACATCGAAAGTACTAAATGAGATGCAGCAAGTGTTTTGCTACCAGTATCATAACTCAGAAAAGGTAAATCATGCTGAGACACCAGAAGAGACAAAAGTCACAGCCAGCAATGGCCTGAAAATTGACAGTTCATATAGCCTGTGCCTTCATCACTGATTGACTCCTGCTCTACTGCTCTCCTTCTGAGTCAAGAATCAACAGGGAAAGACACCCCTCCCTGCAAGAGAGGATCTCAAATGATAGACTGTAGTGCAGAGACTTCTGGAGCTGCCGTTCTTCTACAGTGGTGATCTCAGCTTGACCAGAGGAGTGTTTGTACTGAAGAGCTTTACCTCAGGCTTTTAATTTTCCTATCCATTCTATTTCAGTGAAAAAAGAACACATCAACTAAAATTAAATTTAAAAACATGTCAATCAGGGGGCAACACTGGTATATACACTGCACACTGTAATCCACAGATCATTCACCCACAGCACAAGACATCTCTAATCAATTATCCAAACAGTACTGTTACAGGCACCTGAGTTATTTAAATAGTATTGGCATAAGGCAGGGCTAGGTCCTCCAAGGAGTCCATGCAGGAGACGAGACACTGTGCAACTATGGGGAAGACTGACACCTCATGCTATGGGCCAAGTCTCAAGACAAATGATAAGCAAATTCATCCATATCCTAAAGACTGATATTCTAAATAGTCCCATAGCACTCTGAGGAGGTCAGGAGTCACCATTCAAAGAAAAGTATGCTTATCCTAAGGACTGACATTTTAAATATTTCCTATCATCCTGATGAAGTCAGGAGTCACCCTCCCAAAACCCTAAGGGAAAAGTCACTGCTGCCTAAGAATGCCTGCTTTCTATGTGACTCCCTTTCCCCCTTTTTCCCAATTTAATCGACTTTACATGAACTTATAATCTTATTGGCTACCATAGCTCTGTCCCGTCTTATGCCCATCTGGATTATAAATTCCGATTTTTCCCCACCTTAAACTCATCTCACCACATGATTTTACTCTATAAAGGTCCCTAGAAAGACAGTGTTTGGCATCCCGCTCAGGACCCCTTCTCTCTCAGGTAGCTTTCTTTCTCTCAATAAGTATATTGTGCTCTTAATTTCTGTTGTTCCTAAAATTTATTCTTTGACTTTAGAGAACACAAACTCATACCAGACACATTAGACCAGGAGATTCATTACTCTATAGGAATATCATTATAAATTTTTCTCTTTCCTGAAGTCAGATAAATCAGTAGTAGTTTGTATTCTACAATGTTGATCTCACCTTTACAGGGATGCTTGCACTGAAGGGCTTTATCACTGACTTTAAGTGCTACTTTTATTTTCTGAAAGTGAAATGATCTGTAATTTTGGTTATGGTATCTACAATGCATTAAGGAAATGACTAACAGTATTTCTTATGAATGGTTTACTACCAGCCATAGAGGAAGACAGGTGGCAAAACTTCATTGTTTTGATTTCTTCCTTGAAACTGAAGGATGCACTTGAAAGAGTTTTGCCCTAGAAACCATTACAGAACCTCATGGTGGTAGTTCAAGGTGGAGGAAGGCAAAATCAGGGATGCTTACGCATATGGCCACTTTCTCTTTTTTCCTTGATTACAACTTCCTCTTTCTTTCTCAGGGCCCTAAAGAAAATTCCCATCAGCTCCTTGCATCACATCAATGTCCCCTCCAAGCACCACATCCACTCAAAAGTCACATATACCTCTGTTGTACTCTAGAAAAATAGCTTCGTTATT